AGACGAAGAATAGGATCGATACATGCAGCAGTCCGTGACATATCAAATGCCGAATCAAATGCGACAGACGTTAGCTTACATTTGCTGCTTCTGTATGCCAACAAACGCTGTCGAGTTGTGGAACAATCATTCACTTGAAATGTCGCTAGATTTTTTACGGCGTCATCACGAAAATGTCGCATTGAACATGGCTCTGCACGACATCAACGCATCAATTGGTATTCCGTAACCGATAGGACATCCAATCGCAGTGCAAGAAGATGAATTTGCTCCCTAAATGGGCAACAGTTTGAAGCTTTCACAGCAATAATGAGAGCTGTCGACGATGAGCATGTCCACAACAGACTTCTACTTATATGGTCCTGGCGGCTCTGGAAATACTTTTTTGTACTCCACGCTGCTCTCATTTGTTCGTGGAAAAGGTCAAATCGCTCTTCCTTTTGCGACCACTGGAATCGCAGCGACTTTACTGAAAGGTGGACGAACTGTGCACAGTGGATTCAAGCTTCCAATTCCCCTACCCGACACATCTTCTTCGCTGATGAGACTGAATTCGCCAGAAGGCGAAACGCTACGACAAGTTTCACTCATCATCATTGATAAAATTACGATGCTGACAAAGCATGGCCTTCGATGCATCGATCAGCTGTTGCGCGACATCATGCAGATTCAATGGCTATTTGGTGCAAAAGTCGAGTCGTCATAATGGATGGCGACTTCAGATAGACTTTGCCGGTTGTAGCAAAAGGTATCCGTATTGATGTAATCGAGTATTGCCTCAAATCCAGCGTTTTAAGGCAGCTTTTCACCAAATTGACTCTCACGGAAAACCTTCGGAGTGATGGTCAAAATGTACATAACAATTGGCTGCTGAAAGTTGGATTGGGAACTTTGGCCGAGATATCTGGAGTGCCGTTAGGTTACATTGAAATTCCACCTAAAATGATAATGGTTAATGATCTGGTCACCGCAATTTATGGTCAGAACTTGCAACACATGCCTGCTGAAGAGCTTGCGAAAAGAGCAATTCTGGCACCTACCAACAAGGACTCTCTCGAAATGAACCGAAACATCACACAGCTGCCCGGAGATCTCCGATTTTATTACAGCTCTGACTCGATCGTGTCTGAAGATCCTGAGGACGCATTGAATTACCCTCCAGAATTTATTCACGATCAAACGCCTTCAGGAATGCCGCCACACACATTGGCACTGAAGACAGGTGTTTTCATCATGCTGCTGCGAAATCTGAACCCAAAGAACGGTCTTTGCAATGGAACACGTTTGATGGTCAAATCATTACAAAATAACTTCTTCAATGCAGAGATTTTATCGGAATGCAACCGAAGCGAAATTGTCATCCCAAGAATTGACCGAGCTCCAAGTGATGTCACTTCCTGTCGTACCGAAACGACGACAAATTCCGATAATTCCTGAGTTTGCGATGACGATCAACAAGTGCCAGGGTCAGACTTTTGAAAATGTGGGTGGTTATCTCAATGAACCCGTATTTTCCCATGGACAGTTGTACGTGGCTTTGTCTAGATCTAAAAATCCTCAGCGGATCAAAGAGTTCATCAAGGTTAGTCAACTGCAGTGAAACCTTTTGAACAGTGATAAGAGATTCACACAAAATATCGTATACCGAGAAATCTTCCAAAGTCCTTCATTTCACTTTTTTAAGTTAAGAAATTTTAATTTACGTGCAAATGTAATATCTTTAATATTACAGCTTCCATCCTAGGACGGGCTAAAGTTTAGTAATAAAATTATCATGAGCAGGTGGATTTTTACAGTCACGTGGAACATTGAGTGGAAAATATTTTTTTTCGCAAAGTCGCTTCAAATATGACGTTTCTTTACAGAAAGTAACGGTAAAAATAAATATGCGCAACACAGTGCTACATCCGTACGTAACGTCACTGCAAAAACCCCCCCCCCACCATTAATAATCATGAGCGGGTAGATTTTTATACTCCCACAGGTCGAGCGGAAAGACATTTTTCTACGCAAATTCGCTTTAAATTTGACGTTTCTTTATTGAAAGTTAATTAAATACATAATTCTACACAACAACAACAAAGTGTATTTGATGTCTTTATTTATTTCTTCAGCACTTTAAACAAAAGATAAGTGTAATCTTTTCCTTGAAATTATGATAAAATGTATACATTTCTCCGTGATTTTCCAGGCAATGTATCGAATTCAAATGTATTACAACCCCAGCGAGCAAAAACAAGGAAATAAAGTAACAGAGCAGTGATTTTGAACTAATTGAAGGTGAGTTAAATGCAGTGCTACAGGGACATGAAGTGTAGTGTTTAATTACATTCTTTTTTCCAAAATTCACTGCCAATAATTTATCACAAGATACAATTATACTCTGCTCAATTTTTTCCTAAATATTACAGCTTCCGTCCGAGGACGGGCAAAAGGCTAGTAAAAAATAGGTACATTTAAAAATATCACTGTCCTGGTTACAAAAGCAAAGTTTTTTGGGGAATTATAGCCATTTTCTATACTTTTTAGGCATAAGCAATTACGAAAACACGACCCAGGAACAAAAATTGTGTTACATAGTGTAATTGGAGGTGCGTAAACCCCGGAGTTGCGTCTCCTCCTCCTGCAACTGCACGGTCGTTGCACTCGTTTAATGTAACTTTGCTTTCAAATCATTACAACCCAACCAATATAGGTACTGCATATTCTCAGATTAACATGATGCATTTGTAATTTATATGACGACATTAACCCCCCCTCTGGTCTTTGCACCTGATAAGCTCACAGTGACGACATCACCTTTATTCTATATGAGACCGAAAAAGGAGTACTTCTTCACAATTCTGATGAAGCTGGTTGTAAAGACCAGCGAAACGTCGTACTCGAATAGTCAATGTTGTGGGTTTATTCTCTAAACACCCGTGTGCTGAAGTAGTAATTGGCGCGGTTTGTTTATGTGACAAACCTTACTAATTGGGTGTGTTGGGTGGTGGCGCGTTTAACAACACATGTACACGATCTACCCCCAAAAAAACTTTTATGGAATCGTTACAACTGTAGTGTTCGATTTCACTCGGACAACTTTTGACTTTCTTCGAACACCGCTTTATTTACAACTCTCCGCATGTCCTCCACATACCACAGTATCCAGGTCGCCACGGCTCGCTCGCCGTGCTTCACTCGACTCGCTCGCCACCTTTGTCTCTCCACTCCCCACTATTACTGCGCTTACTCCACCGCTAACTTCTTCGTCTCCGCTCTCCGCTATCACCGTCGCTATGCTCTCTCCACTGCTAACCACTTCGTCTGCTTTCCGCTATCACCGTCACTATGCTCTCTCCACTGCTAACCACTTCGTCTCCGCTCTCCGCTATCACCGTCACTATGCTCTCTCCACTGCGAGCTACTTCGTCTCTGCTCTCCGCTATCACCGACGCTATGCTTTCTCCACTGCTAACTGCTTCGTCTCTGTTCTCCGCTATCACCGTCACTATGCTCTCTCCACTGCGAGCTACTTCTTCTCCGCTCTCCGCTATCACCGACGCTATGCTCTCTCCACTGCTAACTGTCTCTGCTCTCGGCTATCACCGACGCTATGCTCTCTCCACTGCTAACTGCTTCTCTTCTTCAGCTCCGCTATCGTTACGCTCTCTCTACTGCTAGCTGCTTCTCTTCTTCAGCTTCGCTCCACACTCTGTTTCCAAACTCCGTCTCCAACTCTGTCTCCAAACTCTGTCCCCAATTCTGTCTACAAACTCTGTCCCCAACTCTGTCGCCAAACTCTCCTCCAAACTCCACGTCTTGCCTCGTCCAGCTTCTAACTCCAACTCTTCCGCTGCTGACTGCAACTCCCGCTCTTATGCCCGCTCTCATTACACCCCCAATTAATTAACCCGCGTCCTAACGGCACTCCGCGTGACCGTCTACCTGTTACCTCGCCAGACTTCAAGATGCCCCCCCAGCCTTGGCAACAACACCAACCAATCACAGCCATCCTTGGCTCTCGCAGCCTAATTGCCCTAACATAACCTGCACTGTATTTGCCTTCGCTACAGGCTGACCCAACATAACCCGTACTGTCTTTGTTACCATGTAATCACGCTGTTTGCACTACGCACCTTCCTACTCCACTACACAACATTGCAATCTTCGACGCATACAAAGCACGTCCTCGGTTAACACTGGGGACATTCATTTCAGTTAACTAGGGCGTTACCCTGCCAGGCGTGAAGTTTGATTGCACGAGTACAAGCATGTGTCATACCTATGGGACCTTTTTGCCAAGATCAAAATGATTAAAAAATAAGAATAGGCTTCACCCTTTCTAGCAATAACACAGGTGTTTGGATGCACAAACACCAGATAGATACGTATTACAAGGAACCAAGTCTGCATGAACCACACATACTTGTGGCACAACATGCAAACAAATATGATCTGATAATATGGCCCTTATGGCAGGACCCTGGGGTGCCGTAAGCCTCCGTCTCGCTCATAAACTGCGTTGCGACGTCATTTTATGTCTGTTTAAGGCGAACGATACGGCAATCTATTCCTCTCGACGAGCTCTACACGATGCACTCAACAAAGTTTCTAAGTTTTGTTTGTGACTATGGCAATTTTGGCAACGACGGGTGCTTGGTCCGGAACGAGAGGATTGATTTCCGGTGGGGTCGCGGCGTTTACGTGCGAGGTGAGACGGAGTCGCCAAAATTAAATTAATTAATTACGATTTTGACTTGGGTTTATTCGGGACCCCGGGGTCCCGCCATAAGGTTCATATAATGCATTGCCTCTGAAAGTGATTGGCTATAATACCATATATTATGAGCATGTGTGTTTGCACGTTTTACCACAGGACCGGTTTAGATAATCATCACCGGTGCCGGTGGCGGCCGTGAGCAGGGGCGGGGGGAGGGGAATCGACCTCGGGTCTCCTGCTAGCGGCTCGAGGCGGAGTGCAGCGCTAACCGCTGCGCCACCGCTCTCCCCGGGCCGCTTTGTGGCCACGCCCCTTTGTCGCCCACGTGGTTCCAGGGTTCCGGCTCGCCCGAGAGTCCGAACCACAGCAGCAGTGGCAGCAGCGGCGGTGGCGGCAACATCACTACCAGCATCGCTAACATCAACAGCATCACTATCACTAACAACAACATCACTAACATCACCTAAATCACTACCAGCAGCGGCAACACCACCAACAAAAGCAGCAGTGCAAGCAGCGGCGTGAACGGTGAGTTTGCCGAGAGTTTACTCGCTTAGACAGCTTCCTTTGTGTGTGTGTGGCTCTGTGTGTGGCTGTGTGTGTGTGGCTCTGTGTGTGTGTGTCTCTGTGTGTGTGTGGCTCTGTGTGTGTGGCTCTGTGTGTGTGTGGCTCTGTGTGTGTGTGGCTCTGTGTGTGTGTCTCTGTGTGTGTGGCTCTGGTGTGTGTGTGGCTCTGGTGTGTGTGTGGCTCTGTGTGTGGCTGTGTGTGTGTCTCTGTGTGTGTGTGGCTCTGTGTGTGTGTGTGGCTCTGTGTGTGTGGCTCTGTGTGTGGCTCTGTGTGTGTGTGTCTCTGTGTGTGTGTCTCTGTGTGTGTGTGTCTCTCTGTGTGTGTGTGGCTCTGTGTGTGTGGCTCTGTGTGTGTGTGGCTCTGTGTGTGTGTGTGTGGCTCTGTGTGTGTGTGGCTCTGTGTGTGTGTGGCTCTGTGTGTGTGTGTCTCTGTGTGTGTGTGTCTCTGTGTGTGTGTGGCTCTGTGTGTGTGTGGCTCTGTGTGTGTGTGTGGCTCTACGTCTATCACTATGGCTCTGTGTGTATGGCTCACTATGTACAGCCATATGTATGGCCATGTATGTACAGTATTGATCTGTGTGGCCCTGTGTGTACATTATTGATCTGTGTGCCCTGTGTGTACAGTATTGCTCTGTGGCCCTGTGTACAGTATTGATCTGTATGGCCATGTGTGTACAGTATTGATCTGTGTGGCCCGGTGTGTACAGTATTGCTCTGTGTGGCCCTGTATGTACATAATTGATCTGTATGGCCCTGTGTGTACAGTATTGATCTGTGGCCCTGTGTGTACAGTATTGATCTGTATGGCTCTGTAATGTACAGTATTGATCTGTGTGGCCCTATGTGTACAGTATTGATCTGTGTGGCCCTGTAATGTACAGTATTGATCTGCGGTTACCCTGTGTGTACAGTATTGATCTGTGTGGCCCTGTGTGTACAGTATTGATATGTATGGCCATGTGTGTACAGTATTGATCTGTGTGGCCCGGTATGTACAGTATTGATCTGTGTGGCCCTGTGTGTACAGTATTGATCTGTGGCCCTGTGTGTACAGTATTGATCTGTGTGGCCCTGTGTGTACAGTATTGATCTGTATGGCCATGTGTGTACAGTATTGTTATGCGTGGTCCTGTATGTACAGTATTGATCTGTGTGGCCCTGTCTGTACAGTATTGATCTGTGTGGCCCTGTATGTACAGTATTGATATGTGTGGCCCTGTATGTACAGTATTGATCTGTATGACCATGTGTGTACAGTATTGATATGTGTGGCCCTGTGTGTATAGTATTGATATGTGTGGCCCTGTGTGTATAGTATTGATCTGTGTGGCCCTGTGTGTACATCATTGATCTGTGTGGCCCTGTATGTACATAATTGACCTGTGTGGCCCTGTGTGTACAGTATTGCTCTGTGGTCCTCTGTGTACAGTATTGATCTGTGTGGCCCTGTATGTACAGTATTGATCTGTGTGGCCCTGTGTGTACAGTATTGATCTGTATGTATTACTTTGTATGTGGAGTAATGCTCTGTATGTATGTACAGTATTGATCCGTATGTATGGCCCTCTATGTACAGTATTATTATATATGTATGGCTCTACATACAGTATTGTTCTATGTATGGCTCTGTACTCTATTGCTCTATGTATGGCCCTGTATTTACAGTGCTCGAAATTGTAGCTCCTGTGCCACTCGACCCACACTAATGTCTTCTCCCCCTCCCCCATGTGTGCAGATACTGCTCTATGTACAGAATTTCTCCATATGTATGGCTATATAATATTGCTCTGTATGGCCCTATTTACAGTATTGCTCTGTATGTAGAGTACTGCTATATGTATGACTATGTACAGTATTGCTCTGTATGTAGAGTACTGCTCTCTGTATGCCTCTATGTACAGTATTGCTCTGTATGTAGAGTACTGCTATATGTATGACTATGTACAGTATTACTCTGTATGTAGAGTACTGCTATATGTATGACTATGTACAGTATTGCTCTGTATGTAGAGTACTGCTCTATGTATGCCTCTATGTACAGTATTGCTCTATGTAGAGTACTGCTATATGTATGCCTCTATGTACAGTATTGCTCTGTATGTAGAGTACTGCTCTATGTATGCCTCTATGTACAGTATTACTCTGTATGTAGATTTCTGCTCTATGTATGCCTCTATTTACAGTATTGCTCTGTATGTAGAGTACTGCTCTATGTATGCCTCTATTTACAGTATTGCTCTGTATGTAGAGTACTGCTCTATGTATGCCTCTATGTACAGTATTGCTCTGTATGTAGAGTACTGCTCTATGTATGCCTCTATGTACAGTATTACTCTGTATGTAGAGTACTGCTATATGTATGACTATGTACAGTATTGCTCTGTATGTAGAGTACTGCTCTATGTATGCCTCTATGTACAGTATTGCTCCATATGTAGAGTACTGCTCTATGTATGACTATGTACAGTATTACTCTGTATGTAGAGTACTGCTCTATGTATGCCTCTATGTACAGTATTACTCTATGTAGAGTACTGCTCTATGTATGACTATGTACAGTATTACTCTGTATGTAGAGTGCTGCTATATGTATGCCTCTATGTACAGTATTGCTCTGTATGTAGAGTACTGCTATATGTCTGCCTCTATGTACAGTATTACTCTGTATGGCCCTATTTATAATATTCCTCCGAGTGACCATGTATGTACAGTATTGCTCTGTATGACTATGTACAGTATCGATCTGAGGATCCAACCAAAACCATCACTTTACCATACATAGCAGGGACCACCAAAAATATTTCCAAAATATTAAACAAACACAAGATCCAGGGTCGTTTCAACACAGTGCACAAAATCCGTGATTTTATCCTATCTCTAAAGGATGTGATTCCTCACATGCAATACCCTGGTGTCTACAAACTGAGACTGTGGTTGCGGCTCAGCCTCATGAAAACACACCTAAAGCAATAAATAATGAGCCACTTTATATTTCAATATTTGTTGTCTACACGCTAACAGTATTAATGTAATATTTGCAAACTAAATAGTAAACGATCTACATGAGTTATTAGTCAAAGAAGCAACACGATTGTAACCAACATTGCCGTGGTGAGGCCTAGTCCCGTGCAGAGCCTGCGTGCTCGCCTAGATTGCCCAGCCGACCGTGGTGCCTCCCTGGCAGGCTGGGGGCTGTGCCGCGACCCCCACCCCCCCCATGAATAATACAATCTAAGCGCTATAACATATGCATCTAGGGACTCTATAGTAGTAACTGCACGCTCTTTTGCCCACTTTAGCAAAACAAATTATTGCTGTGGGTGTCCCACCTGATGACGGACGCTTGTGTTGTGTCCGAAACGTTGTGATTTTTATTTCTTTTATTTTATACATGACTTACTGAAAGAACCAAAGAGTATAATATTTAAATATAAAGTTACTCATCATTTATCGCTTTAGGTGTGTTTTCATGAGGCTGAGCCAGTGTACTACCAGTCTGTGATGTGGCCTGCTGCATGCTTATTAATTAACGTCAGTGCACTGGCACTCTACACTGTTAATATAGATTTTGGCCATTTAGAATGTATGCCAATCTATAATCTGTTGCCTGCTTCTTTCTCTCACTCAGTGTAGTGCCGGCCTTTCATGTAGACTGTGTCCGGCTTTTTCAGCTGCTGACCATATTGCCAGGTTATTATGTCAACTCGTGCAATGCCTATGTCATTGAGTCAGCGTGCTGGAAGTCTATAATCTAGCCTGTAGCCTGCTTATTAACTTACCTGCGCGTACTGCTGCTCTATAATGCCAACTTATTCTACCTTATATCTTCAATTAGTTCCCTTTGTTTCGATTGCTCACGTCACGCTATTTAGTGATATGTAGTACTGTGATGCTGACAGCTGTGGCATCGGGGATGCTGTCCACCTCGATGTGTGTGTGAGTCTCTGTGTGTGTGTGGCAAAACAACCCCCTACCTCGCGGTGCCAGATGGGCAACTCTTGTCGTGGACAGTACTGTGGGGGGAGGGCCAATTCTGATTGGCCTCTCCCCTCATGGCGTCTGTGACCACCACAGTGGCTAAACGGGGGCTCTGGACGGGTGCGAGGGGCTTGTAACCCCTCCACCTTCAATAAATTACCACTAAACCACGAATTAAATATGTAACTAATAAGCTTGTGCCGGAGGCCCCGGGGGGACAGGCGTCTATGACGTCTCCTGGCCAAACCCAAATTGGCGGAACCAGGAGATTGAATCTTTACCCTCGGGGCTCCTCCAGAAACAACGAAAAGTCACTTCCTGTGGACACGTGGAATGTTTGAACGCTCACTGCGGAGGAGAGGCTGCCACTCCTCTGTCGGGAGCTAGACCGGTACCGCCTGGATCTCTGTGGCATTCAGGACGTCCGGTGGACCGGTTCTGGCTCCTGCCACCATAAGGGGTGGACAGTCCTCTACTCGGGGCAGGAGACTGCCAAACAACAGGGTGTGGCTCTTCTGAACAAAAGAATGAAGGGGGCGTGGGAGCGTGGCGGTGAGGTGTGGGAAGCTGTAAGCCCCAGGCTACTTTGGGCTTGCCTTCCAATCAACCAGAGGCGAGGAGTGGTGGTCGTGGTTACTTTTATGCCCCCACCGAAGATGAACATCTGTGGAGGGATGCAGGCAAAGCCGATGAGTCAGATGCCTTCTATGACCTCCTGTCACAGGTGCTGGCTAAAGTGGCCCCTTAGGATAGAGTCATCTTGTTGGGTGACTTCAATGCCCGAGTTGGTCATGATGCTGGCACCTGGTCTGGAGTGATTGGAGGGCATGGGCCAGATCAGCTCAATAACAACGGTAGGAGGCTGCTATATTTTTGTGCAGCCCATGGGCTTGGAATTACCAACGCGCTGTTCCAGCATCGGCGCATCCACACAACATCATGGATGCATGCCAGGTCCAAGCAAGAACATCTGCTGGACTACAT